TCCAAAACATCCTGCACACTGGGAAAACGGCTATCCTCTTAAATGGCAATCCGGGGTCCTGGATCCAACGTAGATGTGGCCTCCGGCAAGGTGATCCCTTCTCGCCATACTTGTTCATCATCATTGCAGACGTTCTTTAAAGACTGATCGCCAATGCTTCCCAATCGAAAAGCTCCCTGGTCTCGAAACGGCCGGCTTTGGTTCAGCTCTCGGGGCCACCTTACACACTAATAAAATCGTCAGCTTCCTTCCCCACTCATCGCCCTCACTTTAAGACAAAAAATCCAATTCGATTCAAAGATCGGAATCATACCTCCTGCGGGCAAGGTCGGCTCAAGAAATGGAAGTTGTGAGATGGAAAGAAAACCACGAAAAAAGAACTGAATTAGGGATCAATCCATACGCGGCTTGCCTTCTCCCCTTCCCCATGTACTTTGCCACCCGCTCCGACCAAACGAACCACCAGTGACACTTCAATACGCTGATGATACCCTAATAATTGCTGCTGCTAGCGACGCCGCAACCATAACACTCGAAAACACCCTACACGATTTCGCCCTTGCAACGGGGCTGGTTATCAACTTCCAAAAAAACGGCACTTCTCACCATCGCCACCGATTCCTCCACTCAAAACAACATCGCTGCAGCTATTGTGTGTTCTTTATCCTCCTTTTCGTTAATCTACCTAGGTCTACCCCTCTCCCCTACCAAACTGCCACTCACAGCTTTCGACCCGATCATAGACAGCTTTCGGAAATTCCTCTTCGGTTGGGTAGCGCGCCTGCTCTCGCGTGGTGCTTGACTGACCCTGCTGACTGTGGTCCTTGACTCATTAACCATTTATGTCAGTTTTTTGCCTACCTAAGTCGATCATAGCCAAACTTGACGCCATTCGGAGGGCGTTCTTCTGGTCCAACGAGGCAACTTGCACAGGTGCGAGCTGCCTAGTCGCGTGGAAAAACGTTTGCAAACCTAAAGATCTTGGTGGTCTAGGCATTAAAAATCTATAAATTCAGAACCGCTGCTTGCTTATAAAATTCTCATTCAAAATTTTGCAACAGCCAAACGTCCTTGGACATAGTGGTATCACCACCAATACCCTCTTGGCATCGCAGCAAAAACTTCAAGGCCCTCTTTTCTTTGGAAAATTATCAACAAAAATTTGCCACTCCTAATTGAGCACTCATTTGTGATCACCTACAATGGCCTCTCCACCTTTTTTTGGCTTGATAAATGGCTTTTACAGTCGCCTCTTCAAAAAGTTTTCCCACACCTTTACTCACACTCCATTGATGACAAGGTTCTAGTGGCTACAGTTTGGCAAACCAGCTTATTGGCGAACCTGCGGAACCATCTGTCTAATGCTGCTGCTCACGAGTTGGATTGTGTGATGTTGCTGTTGCAGGATTTCCAGCAGGTGGACCGATCTGCCGAGCGGTCCCTCACCCATGGGATGCCGTTCTCTGCCAAGAACGCCTACTCCTCCATTGTTGCTGAGGATTCCTCCGACCCTCACCATGATTTTGTCTGGGCTTCCAAGGTTCCAATCAAGGTCAAGATCTTCGCATGGTTTCTCCTCTGCGATCGGCTAAACACGAAAGCCAACATGTTTCACAAGCACATTGCCCAATCAGCAACATGCCCTCGTTATCAAGACCCGAATGAGGATGCTCTCCACCTCATCTCCAACTGCTCTTATGCGACACAGGTTTGGTACTCCTTGGGTCTGCCGACTCCAACCTCCCTTGCTGCTCTACACCAACACCCAACGATACTGGGCCTCAACCCCAACATCTGGCCATCAGTGGCTCTGACTGTTTCATGGAAGCTATGGGATTCAAGAAACGCTCTCGTGTTCAGAAACGAGGATCACTCCCACAGAACTACGATAAGAAATATTGTAGCAGATTTCTCCCTCTGGGTTTTCCGGTTCAAAAAGAAAGAAGACAATATCTTTGCTAGGCAATGGCTTAACTTTCTCTCTTCAGCAATCCCCTAAAGCTGATGTTGTAGCCGAACTGCTGCTGTAATTCTCG